ACATTTCTTGTATGAAGAAAAAATCCACAACATTTTACACATTTGTGGAACATAATTAATTCTAGAGTAAGTCAAGTAAGTCTATCATGCTTACCAAAAAATTATATATATATATATATATATCATGTGTGATTACCCCTATAGTAGCATTTATTTTTAGTTAAAAGTAAAAAATTAAAGGCAAAATTGCACTAAAAACCCCCCAACTATTAACTTGTTGTAAAATGCACCCTTTAACTTTAATTATTACAATTAAAACACTCAAAACTTTTAAAAGTGCTCACATTGAACCCTTAAGACTAACATTTTATATTTAACTGACATGAAATTATATAAAAACCCTTTTAGTAATTAATAAAAAAAAAAAAAAAAAGGAATGCAAAATTATATTTATGGACAACAATGACAACACCCTAATTTAAGCAGCCCACTCATCACCAGTCTCCAACAACGGTCGACCCTAAGACACAACATAATGGCATCGACGGTCATTATGCTCACGCACTCATTGCCATCTTGATGACCAATCGCGGTGGCTGCCGGTCGGCCGGGTTTGTGTTTAGTGACTGGAGTCAACTATGTTGAATAAAAATGCTTTTGTATCATCTTGTGATTCAATGGGAAAATGGAACCGTGCAAACCTTGTTTTTGTATCAATGCATGTTCAAATACTACGAAACACTTTTTTCTTCCTTAACTTATTAAATAGAATTATGTGATAGCTAGTGTATATGTAGACCTATCAATGAATCAAATCTTGATCCAAATTCGATCCGATTAGTCGAATATGAATTGAGTAGGAAATTCGATAACCTGATAATAATCCGAATTCGATAATCCATCAACATAACAAATCCGCTAGTATATATGTAGACTTATCATTTTTTGGTAAGCATTATAGACTTACTTGACCAACTCAAGAATTAATTATGTTCCACAAATGTGTAAAATGTTGTGGATTTTTTCTTGACAGAAGAAATGTCACAAATAATTATTTATTTTGAATGTGACAATGACCTATGATGCACCTCCAACTATTCACACTTTCCAACCGAGAATAGTTGAAAAATAAATGTGAATAATATTTTGAGTTACACATTAATGATCCTAAACTCTTAATAGCACAGAGAATCTAACATTGTGACTAGTTTTTTCTTCAAATAAAATTACTATTTTTAAGGATAAATAAGTCATTATAAATTCCAATAAGTCTTACTTTTGAAATGCTTTTCCATTTAAGTTCTATATCACTCAAAATTTCATTTATACTTTTTTTCAAATTGAAAGTAAAATTTTACAATTATAAATTCTATTCAGAAATTGATTCTTAATAAAATATTTTATTTGTTTAACTAATTAAACATATATATATTTAAAATATTAGCTATATTTGTTTAACTAATTAAACATATATTTCATATAAAAATATATTAGCTATTTGTTTCTTCTTCTTTCTTTTGTTATTATTTTTTTTTTTTGTCATTTTATATATTTTAATTGCAAAAGAACTAGTCTAATATTTCGGAAGTGATAGGAAAAAATAAACCTAACCTAGTTTGACCAAACGATAGAGGCAACTAAGCATTAACCAGCCGCCAGACCTCTTCGTCTCTCGAACGATAATATTTCGTGACCAAGGATAATGATTTACATTTGATCAGAATGACGACAAATCTTATCAAGGATAGGATTTCCATGGGATAAGTTCCATAGGATAAGGATCCATGGGATAAGGAAAATAATATTCCCTTATCAAGAATAAGGGAAGTGACGATAAATAGGAAAACGACTCGGGAATAAGGTACACACAAAAATTTCCTACTAGAGATTACGATTGAAATTCCTTCTCTAGATACCCTTACTAACTTAATTGTCGGAGGGTCAAAGGCCGGCACCACACCGGTGCTTGACTTTGCCATCTTTATTTTGCAGGAAACGATGTCGTATCAGACCACGGTGAATTTCAACCCCAACAGTTGGCGCCGTCTGTAGGAATGACGATTCCCTTAAATCAATTAATTACTCGGTTGGATATATATGTTTGCAGTCCGGTATGGTTACCGAAGAAACACCGTTGTAGGGATCTGTTCAAAGGGAAGAGACGGGTGAAAACCTAGACGTCCCAAATGACCAGGAACGGCTTGCAACGTTGGAACTACTAGTCCAAACTCTGAATCAGACTTTGAATCAGGGTATAGACCAGTTGATCCAGCAAAATGTAGCACTCTTGCAACACCTTGTTCCACCGGTTCAACAGAGCTTGCCACGACAAAACCTCTTGAACCCAAACGGAGGTAATGAGAATCTTGAGAAGCAAGATAATCATCCTCCCCGACATGAGACCGAAGTGGAACAAAGCCAGGCGGGGAACCGACATAGAGAGGTGATCCACCCATCTCTTCCACGGAGTTCCCGACCCTATGAAGACACAATTGTCATTGAAAAGACAAAGGATATTCCCCATGTTGACCTAGAGATACAGGATCTCAAGGCAAAGATGGAGGATGTGATGCAGGCCATGAATGGAAAAGGCATTGCAGCCATAGATGGTTTGGTGCAGAAGACCAACTTGCCGTTCAGCCCCTTGGTTATGAAATACCCCTTGCTGAGTAAATTTGGAATGCCCTTAATTGAGAGTTTCAACGGAACTAAAGATCCCCTAGACCACTTGGAGACTTTTTAAGTGCTTATGCATCTGCACGCGATGCCAAATGAGATCATGTGCAGGGCCTTCCTAACAACCCTCAAAGGATCAGCAAGGGTATAGTTCAACAAGCTGAAGCCAGGGACCATCGAAACCTTTGAAGAATTGAGGAAGTGTTTCGTGGGCCATTTCATTGCTGGCCAGAGGCATAGAAGGCCGGCTACCTACCTTCTTACTGTCAAGCAGCAGAAGGGAGAATCACTGTGAGATTACATTGGTCGTTTCAACACGAAGATACTACAGGTGGAGGAAGCGGAGGACAAGGTGGCCCTAGCCGCCTTTATGGGAGGAGTTCAAACCTTGAGATTCCTTTTATCAGAGGAACCCCCTACCAACATGGCCAAGTTACTGGTTCGAGCTAAAAAGCATATAAATGCTGAAGATGCAATGATTGCAAGAAAGGGAAAAGAAGGGGATGATAAGAAGGTAGATAAGAAAAAGCCGGCTCTAGCAATCAAAGATGAAAAGGAAACCAAGTATAAGAAACCCATGGTTAACCAGAATGAAAGGACGTCTCGCTATAAGAGCGCGGAAAGGTATACAAATTACACTCCTTTAAATATGCCAATAGATGAAGCTCTTTTGCAGATCCAGGATGAACCATATTTGAAGTGGCCACCAAAGTTGAAGTCAGATCCAACGAGGAGACCTCGTGATAAGTACTGTAGGTTCCATAAAGACCATGGGCATGCCACAGAGGATTACTTTGACCTCAAGGATAAGATTGAGACTTTGATCCGAAGGGGGCACATGCGAAAGTTTATTGTGGGGAATGACAGAACCGACGTTAATCCATCAAGAGCAGGCCGAGGTAACCGCGCCCCTGATCAACAACCAATGGAAGAAATCAGGGTCATAGCCGGGGGATGTGCAGGAGGTGGAGAATCAAGCTCAGCCCACAAGGCCTATGCCAGGAGAAGGTGAAACTCATCCAAGGTGTACGAAGTTGGAGTACAGATTCAACATCGAAAAATACCTCGTCTAGGTGATCCTAATATCACATTCTCAGATGAAGATATCAAGGACGTGCAACAACCCCATGACGACCCTCTCGTTGTCACCATGATGATCGCTAACTATAGTATTCAGAGGATCTTGGTGGATAATGGAAGTTTGGCTGATATCATTTTCCTTGATGCATTTGACAAAATGAAGATTGGTAAGGAGAAACTCAGACCTACTAGATCACCATTGGTGGGATTCTCAGAAGATAAGGTCTATCCTCTAGGAGCGGTCATACTTCTCGTCACTGCACGAACCAGCCCAAAACAAGTTACTGTCATGGTAGACTTCCTGGTGGTGGATTGTCCATCTGCTTACAATGTCATCCTAGGAAGGACGACCTGAAACTCGATAAGGGCTATCACTTCGACTTATCACTTTTTGATGCGCTTCCCCATAGAGCATGGCGTAGGAGAACTAAGAGGAGATCAGTCCACTGCCAGAGAATGCTATGTTGCATCTCTCAAAGAAAAGAAGCAACAAGAGGCATTGATTGTCGAAGAAATCACAGAAAAGGAGCAAAATCGAGCCGAGCCAATTGAAGACCTAGTGGAGATATGCCTAAATGATAATGACGTAACAAAGAAGGTGAGGATAGGGTCTCTGCTCCCCTCAGATTTCATGAATATTCTTATACAGTTCCTCAGACATAATCAAGATGTGTTCGCATGGTCACATGAAGACATGCCTGGTATTAATCCAGCTACGATCGAGCATCGATTAAACACGGATCCCACATTCAAACCTATCAGGCAAAAACGAAGAACATTTGTCGCAGAGAGGAACATGGCTATATCAGAAGAGGTGAACAAGCTTTTGAAAGCTGATTTCATCCAAGAAGTTAATTATCCCGACTGGTTGGCCAATGTTTTTTTGGTAAAAAAAGGCCAATGGAAAATGGAGGTTGTACGTAGACTTTACCGATTTCAATAAGGCATGCCCCAAAGACAGCTTTTCTCTGCCAAGAATCCACATGTTGGTACAAGGAACGGCTGGCCATGAGTTGATCAGTTTCATGGATGCATATTCAGGGTATAACCAAATCTCAATGCATCCATTAGATAGAGACAAGACCTCTTTTGTCACAGACAGAGGTTTATATTGCTACAAGGTGATGCCTTTTGGGCTCAAAAATGCTGGTGCAACATACCAGCGACTAGTCAACTTGATGTTCAAGAACCAAATTAGAAGAAATATGGAAATCTATGTGGATGACATGCTTGTAAAAAGCTTAAAAACTTAAGACCACCTAGCTGATCTACAAGAAACATTCTAAGTCCTCAGGAAACAGCAAATGAAGCTCAACCCAGACAAATGTGCCTTTGGTGTCTCCTCTGGGAAATTCCTTGGTTACATGGTAAGCAAGAGAGGGATAGAGGCCAACCCCAAGAAAATCCAGGCGATTCTTAACATGTGGTCTCTAGCATCGACCAAGGAACTTCAAAGATTGACGGGAAGAATCGCTGCTCTAAACAGGTTGATCTCCAGGGTAACAGATAGGTGTTTACCTTTTTTCCGTGTGCTCAGGAAAGCTTTTTCATGGACACCTGAGTGCGAGCAAGCTTTTACAGAGCTAAAAGAGTATCTCACTTTACCACCGTTACTATCACGGGCGATGCAAGGAGAGCAGTTGTATTTATACTTGGCAGTTTCTCCATCGGCAGTAAGCTCGGCCTTAGTCCGAAATGAGGATGGAATCCAGAAACCAGTATATTATACTAGCCGTGCGTTCAGGGGGGTAGAAGAGAGGTACCCAAGGATAGAAAAGTTGGCATTTGCTCTAGTTGCTTCTGAGAGGAAACTCAGTCCTTACTTCCAAGCGCATACAATAATAGTACTGACAGACCAACCACTTAGGCAGGTCCTCCGCAAACCTGATACTTCGGGGCGACTCATAAAGTGGTCGGTAGAACTTGGAGAGTTTGATATCCAATATAAGCCCAGAACAACCTTGAAAGCTCAGGTACTAGCAGATGTTATAGCAGAATTCACACCAAACGATGGGTACAAGCATGGCTTAAATGAACAAGAAGAAACTGAATCTATTTGGACATTATATGTGGATGGGTCAGTCAACACCCATGCAAGTGGGGCAGGGCTAGTAATTGTATCGCCGAATGGGGAATGCATCAAATATGCACTCAGGTTTGGATTTAAGGCAACCAACAATGAGGCGGAATATGAAGCCCTCATAGCAGGCCTCAGGATGGCTAAAGCCCTGGAAGTTGAGCGACTAATAGCGTATACTGATTCTCGACTAATAACTGGACAAGTCCAGGGGGAATATAAAGCCAAGGATGAGAAGATGAAGACCTATCTGCATAAGATAACAGATATTAAGGGCTTTTTCAAGAAGTTTTCCATTCATCGGATTCCCCGAGAAGATAATGAGCAGGCAGATGCCCTAGCACGACTAGCAACCACAGAGGAAGATAAAGCCACACCTGTGGAACATTTGGATGAGCCTAGCACAGTCTGGGATTGTCAACAGAAAATACACCAAGTAGTCCAAGGTATGGAATGGGTAGAACCCATTATCAGGTACATAAAGAACAAAGAGCTACCCCAAGATCGCATAGAGGCACGAAAGATCAGGATGCATACAGCAAAGTATTCCCTCATTGATGGGGTTCTCTACAAGAGGGGATTTTCTCCACCCTACTTACGTTGTGTCTCCATTGATGAGGCAACTATATTTTAAAGGATATACATGAAGGCCTTTGTGGAAACCATGCTGGGGCAGATCACTAGCGCATAAAACTATCCGACAAGGATACTTTTGGCCTACTATGAAGAAAGATGCGCTGGATTTTGTGAGGAAATGTGACAAGTGCCAGAGATTCGCAAATGTCCCAAAACGACCCGCAAAAGAGTTAACCCCTCTTACAGGGCCATGGCCTTTTGCCCAATGGGGAACGGACCTCATCGGCCCTTTACCCCCAGGGAAAGGACAAACTAAATACGCAATTGTGGCTATCGATTACTTCACCAAATGGGTGGAGGCTGAGCCATTAACTCATATTAGAGCAAATGAAGTAAAGAAAATTTTCTGGAAGACAATAATCTGCAGGTTCGGAGCACCAAGGGTGATTGTGACAGATAATGGGAAGTAGTTTGAAAGTGAGCAGTTCCTTGATTTTTGTAATGAGCTTGGGATCAAAGTTCATTTCTCTTCTCCTGCCCATCCCCAGGCCAATGGGCAAGTTGAGGTCACGCATAGGACAATACTGAAAATGATCAAGACATGTTTAGAAAAAGCCAAGGGCTTGTGGCCTGAACAAATACCCGGAGTCTTATGGGCCTATCGCACCACCGTGAGAACACCCATTGGGGAGACCCCCTTTAGGTTAACTTTTGGAAGTGAAGTGGTGATCCCGATAGAAACAAAGGTTGCCACCTTCAGAACCAAGTATTTCGAACCTCAACAGAACGAGATGGAACTACAGTTAAACTTAGACCTAATAGAAGAGAAAAGAGAGCAGACCCAAGTCAAGGTTGCAGCTTACCAGTGGATGGTATCCAATTACTACAATGCCCGGGTCAAGCTAAGGAGGTTCGAGCCAGGAGACCTGGTGCTCCGCGAGGTTACCCCAGCTACTATGGAAAAGGGGGAAGGAAAGTTAGCTCCCAACTGGGAGGGCCCCTATCGAGTAAACCAGAGCAATAGACCGGGGGTATATTGGTTAGAGACGCTTGGTGGAAGCCAACTTCCCCACCCATAGAATGCAGAACATTTGAGGAAATATTATTAGTAGGTACTTATGCCGGGCTATGTTTTATTTAATTATCTCACTTTTAAAGTGATAGTATGTTTTTTAGCTTCAATAAAGCAGACCAGTGTTCAATGAATGCTGATGATCGACTATTGGATATTATTTTTGATAAGTTTTTAATAAAATAATTATTCGTCTTTATTTCACATTTTTCTACTGCTGACGACGCTACTATTGAATTTAATAAGGGCTAGTAAAGCATTAAATTTATTTCTTTATTAAAAGAAATGATTGGCATTCCCTTATTAAAGGGACGAGCTGGGTGAAGCTTGCAAAAACACGTTCCTTCAGAAAAAGGACAGACTGAGTGAAGCCTGAAAAAGTGTTCGAATATTTCTTTGACAAAGATGTATTCAATACCACAAAAGAAGAGCCGCATTAATAGAAAAGGAATTCGGCATAAATAAGTATGGAGCAACATCATGAAAGACAAAAGCAACACAACTATTCTCTGAGTTAAGAGATATTCTGAAAAGTTTTTAAGAGATCGACATGCTAAGAAAGCAAAAAACCTAATATATATACATACATATATATATATATATATATATGATTACTACTATGGAATTCAATCTTCCTCTTCACTCTCAGCTAGAATATCATACATAGAAAAATCTATGTCTGGACGATCTTTGCTGACAAGAGCTTTGAACTGGTCAAAACCATCACAGCAAGCCTTGCTTATGAGCACCTTGAACTCATCAGAATTTTTAAAGCTCTCCATGGTAACTATCTTATCAAGTTCCAGCTTATCAGAGTATTCTTTAGTAAGTTTCACCTTCTTATTTTGAAAGCTTAATTTTGCATTGGCTAAGTCATTTTCTTTATTTTTAAGTATAGAAGTAACATCCTCGTATTTAGCCTTGAGGGAAGCTATCTCTAGGGAAAACTTCTTGTACTCTTTTGCAATGGCAACAGAGTATGTAGTGCCCTACAAATAAATAAATAGTAGCAAATAGTTAAAAAAGAAAGGGATGCATATGATAAGAGTAAAGTCTCATCTGGTTAATTATATAAAGAAATTTTCGCGAAAGCTCAGATGCCGGCAGATTCTGCAATCTGGTAGTGTCATCATTTACCATCATTTTAGGTAACCTATGATACGCGACATTAGCGTTATCAAGAATCGATTCCCCTTGGGAAAAGGCTTGGTTTGTGGAAATCGATACCGAACCAAAACTCTTGAAACTCGAAGGAACCCCACCAAATTTGCCGAAACCCAAAGATGTAGGAGTAGGACCTAATAACACTCCAGAGCTTGAAGATCTACCAGGATTTTCCTCTCCTACCCTTCGTAATTTTTTGGGAGTAGGACTAGGGGGAAGATTAGTTTACCGGACTTGGGCCAGGAGCCTTTTACTAAGTTTCTTGCCTACATAAAAAATACAAAGTAATAAGGAAAATATTCAGTGCAAAATTGACTAAACTCAGTAAGTTTACATATAGGTATCATCTTTTTTCTTACCTTTCTCTGAATGGGTGGGAGTGTCGATTGAGCTAGTAGCTCGTACGTACAAGTTTAAAGCTTCATCAGTCATAAGATCACTAAAAGTCTTCACTGGGTAAGCAAAGGCATTACCGACATATTTTTCCTCTTGGGCTGAGAGAGCCGATTTGTCCTTAAAGTCTGGAAAGCGGAATTGTAAGTTGCAATTCTCTAAATGGGAGAATAAAATAAACTTCTCAAAAAAAAAAAAAAAAAAAAAAAATACTATTCAGTGAATAGTGAACAGTACCCGTGGCACGACAGTGCCGGGGGCAAAAAAAATAAAAAATCGTACCCGTAGGGTCTAAATTACTCCATACACTTGGAAATTTCCCATATGAACCGGAAATAAAAAAGAAACAACTCTTCCAGCCTTTATTATTTTCAGGAGCTGGAACAATGAGGAATATCTTCTTTGATCTACACTGGAAGTACCAGAAGTTATCCTTTTTCTTCTTAGGATAATAAAAATGCAGGAATTGATTTACTGTTAAACAACCATTGCCACACTTTCCCCAAACAATCAAACAGCCTATAATAATTCTCCATGAATTAGGGGCAATTTGAGAAAGAGCTATCTTCAGATGGGAAAGTATTTCTTCTATAAATAGATGAATCGGGAAATGCAAACCAGCAGTAAAAGTTGATTCTGTTGGTCGTCGTCCTACCATAAGCTTAAGAGTGTGAATTTTAAAGCGAGGGCCAAGAGTTTTACATTTATAAAAGCCACTACTACTTTTCACTATAAATATAGTTAGGGCGAGTAGGGATCGTCCCAAGGGATTGGAGTCGTACTTGATTGTCGAATCGCAATTAGGGTTAGTAGGTCGAGTGATTAAACAAATGGTTAGTTGGTTAATTGAACTAGAGAGTAACTAAATTAAACTAAGTAATTGAATGTAACAAAAAGTAAGTGAGAGAGAGAGAAAGATCTTGAGGTTTAGAGGTCACCACTAAGCAATGTTTTTCTACACTTCTAGCTAGAGACTAATGAGGGTAATGTGTGTTACAATATTGGTGTGTGTGTGTGTATTTGGTTGATTCAATTAGCAAGGGTGACCAATTAAGCATACATTGTCTAATCAACATGTGAAAAGCACAATATATCTAGCAATTAAGTATATATTGTCTAAATAGCATGTAAAAAGCACAACATATCTAGCAAGTCATTAATCATTTCATTAAGCTCACAAGCCAAAAACACCACAAGGTTAGAGACATATGCTACTTGCATTCAAAAGTATGGAACATCAAACAACTAGCATGGATTGTACTCTCATCTAACAACTATGCTATCACTACATTACAATTAAACTAATGACATGAAATTAAACTAACTAAGCTAAGGGAGAGGCATAATCCACCAAGAGATGAGCATGGACCATCTAGAAAATCACAAGAGCATTCTTTTAAGCACAATGTTTTGACAATCTCTAAATCTATAGCATCAATACACATAGACATGCATCAATAACTTAAGAAAAAGAGGCCAACACATGAACATCTATTCTAGCATACATAGACATATGGATAGAATGAAATGATCAATTGGAAGTATTAAACCACATAAATCATTGAATAAACAAGATCTATATATATCAAAATGTCAAAACATTAATTACAACATTAATCCCTCAATAATACACAAGATTAAGATATAGAAAGCATACTTGGGGCTAACTCTAGCCCCAAGAGGATATCTAGCCACTCATGGTGATGTTGCTCCAACCCTCAAAGGCTAACTCCATGGTTGAAATCTGCTCCTTGTTGATGAAGAACTCCAATGGTGTCTCTAGCATCCTCCTCCTCTATGCTTCCTCTCCAAGAGATGATATGAAAATCCAATTGGCTCCCCTTTGTGAAAAGCAATCCTTATCCTTATATAAGTAGGTCAAAATGACACCCAAAATGAGCTGGGGTCGTGCACACAATATTCCCTAATGATTGGATAAAGGACAACTATCAATGAGATGGAAATTTAACTTTTTAGACTTTATGCTTTTGGGTCTAGGCTTGGATCTATCTTGAAGTGCTGAGATCGATCATTGTTCGATCGATCAAACCTTGAACTTGGACCGATCGAACTTTGTTGCTTCCCACCTTTGGTTTCATTTGCTTTCTTCTTTCTCCACTTTGCTTCTTTCTTTGTTTAATCCCAGGATTGCTTCAATTAAGCTCTTATTTGGCTAAGTTAACTTATTTTCGGGATAAGTGCCTGAAAATAGACATAATATGAAATCAATCTAAAACGGTAAAGTAAGATAGATAAAGGTACTAGAATGCCTAAGCTTAAGGGGTTTAAATACGCACATTTCAGCGCTCATCACACCCCCAAACTTAAATATTGCTAGTCCCTAGCAATGAACTAGAAAGTAAAGGAATGAAATGAACAACTATACAACTATGAACAATAAAACAATAAATGGATAACGCCACTTTTGT